TAGTCACCGTCTTTCCCGTCATACAAAGTTAAATGAAGTAGGTTTAGGCCGTAAAAAAGCCAGACTAAGGCATGGAATAAGTCCTTGAAGGCTGACCGTTTCTGTGGGGGATGTGAGAAAATGCAGACTTCGTGGTTGGGGTCCACGTGACAACGGAAACCTCTGGCTGGAGACTAGGTGATATAGCTCAGAACGATATCATTAGGGCAGATGTATCCACATATTATCTCCATCTTCCGTCATACTAAACTCGTGTTCTCTCATTCCTTCTTGCACTCTCTTGATGACTTTTCACTACTTTTGAGTGCTTTCTTTATTTTTCATGTTAGTGCATTCCCACCGAGTGTGATGATATAAGGTGGCAACTTAGACCGCTACGCAGCAATACTAAGTCCTACGTTGTCTACCTGCTTAAATTTACTACGTAGCTCAGCAAATAAAACAGACACAACTTCCTAAATAAGTGGAGAGGTTGACAAACTCAACAACTTCATCGCCTGTTTTCAAACTAAGTACAGATTAATTCTGGTTATTAAACAGTTAAATGCATAGTAACTGCGAATATTCTTCATTGCTTCAAAATTGACAGCACCTTGGCCTAATAGAATAAACTAGCAAAATGGAATCAAAACCCACCCAGTAACCTTGTGGACATCCGTGCGGTAAGCAGTGAACCACACTTGTTTTGTGAGGGCGAATGGTATTACTTGGCTATCCAAACCTCAGTAGACGGAGAGCCGTTCGAATCCTCAACCCGCTGGTTGGGACTCAACTCCCGTAAGCAATGAGCCACAACTCCAGAGTATAAACTATAGTGTGCGTACTATTCGTCAACTACATGAAGACCTAGATAGGAGTATAATTCCGTAAGTGTTGGGTGCAGAAATCGTCACTTATTTCATTTGGATATAAAAAGTGATGGTGAAGGTCCTCAGCGAGAACCATTGGTTGTCCATACTTTAAACAGCTCTGTGAAGCTGTAAATAACTCCATGAATTCGAAAACATAGCTTACAGTAGAACTATATGTTTTTCCCACACTCTCTTAGTAATCTGAAACTTTTCAAGACTTCTTTACTGACTGCACTAAATGTTGCCTCCGAGTCACACGATACAATTTATGTAAGGTTATCATCATTATCAACATAAGACCAGGCATTACTGCGTAACGGTCCGAGTTGCTACACCTCACGTCAGTTCATCAAGTAGAAAGGTAGTGAGGTGAAGGATGAAGATAAGTGAATGCAGTCAAAAGAAATATAAAGTACGAGAAGAAAGGAAAAAGGAGTGACAAAATGGTGAGATTCGGTATAGCGTTGTTAAAATGAGGATAATGTGTGTACACATCTGCGCCACTGACGTCGGTTCTCAGCCATATCACCTAGGGTCTCCAACCACTGGTTCCTCTTGTCCCGTGGACCCCAACCGACTAGTCTGCATCGTCCTACATGGCTTAAACCAACAGTCAGAGACTTCATACATTGGTGCCATGTTTTAGTCTGGCCACCTCGGGCCTTTTTCCAGCCTGAACCCACCTCAGCCAACATTGTGTGACGAGGCAATCGGTGACTAGGCATACGTAGTACGTGTCCCAACCATCTCAGTCGATGAAGGTTCACAACCTCGTCAACTGACTTACCTCTTCTCCCCAAAACTCTATGTAAGGTGCTTAGGAATATAAGCTCGTGTTTCACGGAAGCAATGTTAGCCAGATACTTGAAGCCTTGTTATCACCAGTCTGTTACCAATCATCAACTAGCATATAATACATTAGTCTTCTTACGTAGTCCACTGTTCTAAATACCAAAATATCTGCTATCCATATTTCTTCAACTGTCTGCTGAGACATATGATTAGGACTTCTTAGTATGTCTTGTTAACTGTGTCCAGATGCTCAAGTTCCCCACTAAATATCTCTTCATGCCAACTTATTTGATCACAGTGTTCAAATTCTTTTTTGCATGGTACTTGTTCATTCCAGGTTGAAAGCAGCTGAGGAGGAAGTGGTGAGACAAAACGGATCAACGTTATTTTCCTCCAATCATTGTTCTTACTTCGCATAAGGGTGTATCTCCGGATCTGTGCCATCGACCACGTACATCTAGAACGACTCATTGGTCAGTTTTCTGCACTACGTGATAGTGTTGAACGACTCCTTAGCACCTGGTTTCTCATACACAGATGAGCTATTACTGGACACCTAAACGCTTTCGGCAGTCAGTGCTGTCATACGAAAATGTAGCACAACCTTTTCGTGATGCAAGGTAAGCATGAAGTTAGAAAATTCAACGCCAAACACGGAAGTTTTCGAAGTTTGGTCACTGAAAGGTGAGGTCCCAACAAGAACACAGATAAATAACGAACTAGAAATATCGCTGACCGCAATTCAGATGTTTAGCCTTCAAGTGAAATATTCAAATGTCGTTGGGTTAGCAGGCGATTTCAAAGCAGAAGTGAGTAGGTCAAACCAGACAGAAAGTTATCGATGGAGGGTCGGTGCTCATTCTGGAGGTCGCGTTCCCATACATATGTGTGCACCTAAATGGACTTTAACCTCCCCCCCACAGAAGGACAGTTCTCAGCGCAACTCGACAACAAGAATGCTAAAGGTACTTTCCTTTAGCGAGAAAATGACTAGGCAATTATCGGGACAAGTCAGCATCACTCATCCTGAAGAAGGTTAGAGCTACCAACAATCTGCGGTCGAAACAGCACTAAAGACCGTAACTAACCATTAGAAGGTTAGATAAGGTCAGAGGGTATCAATCAGCAGCTTGGGGTCCACGGGACAAGAGAAACCAGTGGTTGGAGACCCTAGGTGATATGGCTCAAAACCGAAGTCAGTGGCGCAGATGTATACACACATTATCCTCATCTTAACAACGCTATACCGAATCTCACTATTTTGTCACTCCTCTTTCCTTTCTTCTCGTACTTTATATTTCCTTTGACTGCATTCACTTATCTTCATCCTTCACCTCACTACCTTTTACTTGATGTGCTGATATGAGTTGTGGCAACTCGGACCGTTACGCAGTAATGCCTGGTCCTATGTTGATAATGATGATGATGATGAATCAGCAGCTTCTGAATTAATGGATGAATTAACGTAGGCGCATTCCTGTAGGCATCAAGCACAACGAGGAGTGGAACTAACTCAAATGTAAATTGGTGAAAAGTTTACATAATGACTGTGGGTAGTGGAAGGCAGCGAAGACTTAAGAGATGAGAAACGCCACGGTTATAGTTAACGCTAATCAGTGGTTAGCCAAACTGTAACAATTCACTAGCAGGGGAGATAACGGGAACTTAAGGTGGGACAATAATTGACCTCCAGCTACTATTCCGTTGCCCGCCATCTAGTCCGATCCCGAATAGAACACTGAGACATACCTCGCAACCCCCGAAGAAGTTAAGTTACATGAAACGAGCGAAGGCAGTAGGACGAGTGCCGCAGGTATTTAGGCACATCAGTTGGACTAGGTATAACTCTAGCTAGTGTATGGCAATCAGATATAATTCCCTCTGATTAGTTTCAATTACTGATTGTCCTAGTGTTCAAATGCAAGAAATCCTTCTGTGATAACCACAAGGGTCAGTTTCACCAATCTAACGTCCAAGATCTTAGGTCCTATAATTAGACGTCTTAGTGAAGCTCGAGAACACTAAGCCCGATGCACCAGTGCAAACTTAAGACTTGAAAGTTGAATCGATCGGAATTTCAAGTTTGTGGATCCATCAGAGACTTAGTGAGGTTACAGGTGAATCTTCTACCTCGAAAAGTGTCCGTCAAGGATGTCTACTTTCTTTATTCTTACTTAATTTCACCATAAATCTGCTCATAGAGATCTCTCTCTCTCGTTGTTGGACATCACAAGGATTGATCTTACCACAAGACTCTTCAGTAGACCTGCAGTAAACAAACGTTAAAGATGTGTTACGTGGGGCTAGAAAGGTGCAAAGTTCACACGTTGAATGGCAGTTTGAGAATGCTTGGGATGAGTTCTTCACCAACCATACGCAAAGCGTTGCTCCAGGACTGGTCTGCGTTGGCGCCGTGGTTAGCAGTAAGGAGTAACGTGTTTGGATGCGTTGACCAGTTCAGAAGTCACATAAGTTCCGGCGGGTCAGTGAAATCTTAAAACAGATACAAAAGGTTCGCTTGGTTTCCGCCAACTTACGGCATTCATAGTGCCAGCGTGATACCTCATTGCCTATTCAAAGTCGGGTGTATCACACTAGTTCGCTCTATTATGCTATATGGCCGAGAAATATGGTCACTAGAGTTGCAGGATATTATAAGCCTTTGTAGTTTCACCACTTCAGTAACGTAGAAGCCCGAGACTAGGTAGGTCAGTCGATGAGACTATAAACGTTCGTCGACTTAGATGGCTGAGACATGTTGCGCATGCTTAGTTGCCCACTGTTAGCTGCAGTAGGTCTAGGCTGGGAAATGGTCAGAGGTGGCCATGAAGTTTTTGTTCGTCTGAGCCGCGTAGGGAAGTGTAAACTCAGCTGGGATCCATGCCAGACTAAAAATCGATGGTTGGATACTGCATATAATACGTATGGCTGTGGAGCAGATTCATCCACATTATCCTCATCTCAATCGTCATAAGGGATTTTATTACTATCACATTACTCCTTGCGCTTATGACCACTACGGGTAGGTATCTTCCTCATATCTATCTTCCATCTTGAAGCCTTCTACCTTATTGCGTGGATGAGACGTGGTAACTTTGACCGTTACGTGATAATGCTAACTAACTCAAACGGAAGTAACACTACTTTTCAGGGGAGGTATGAGCCACAAACAAGCTAAACCAAATTCATGAATCACTTTACGGTTGATGAGAACCTAGACGATCTTGTATGACACTTAAGTACTTGGACAACTTCATGCTATTTTGTACAACCCTATGACAAAACCACATGAAACTGTGTAACCATAGAGGACTTGGGATGCCATCTATACTCAAATACACTTTTATTGGTCGTCTTAAAAGGATGAGATCGATGAGCGTATATTAGGTAATCTATTTTATGTACAATTTACAAAAAGGAAATCAAAATAGTAATTTTTACTGTACAGTTTGTTTTGCAGCTGCTTGGGTTTTTATTTTACGCATCCGATGGTACTTCTCAATATACAGTTTTACAAACGTACTTATTTTCTCAGTATTAATTGACGAAGTACCACTTCGCGAAATCTACAACCAGATAAAATCATGTTAACGGTGTATCTTACCTTTGTAACAGCTTTTTTCATAATTTCTTTGTAGTCCTCTTTGTTAATCCGACGTAGAAAGTATGCAGGCTTTAGCACTGACTTAACTTCTAGAGCGATGCGCTCTTGCCATTCTCGGCGAGAGGTAAAATCATATCTCTTGCGCTTTGCCAGTACTTCTTCGATCCTCATGTCACCAAAGGGTTTCTTGACCTCTTTTTTATTTTGTCCACAGGCACCATTTGGCAGCATCTCGTCCCCAAACCCGTCATTAGAAAATATAGAATCAATCACTGGGAGAGGGGGAGGGACGAAACCATGTGATGAACTGGAAGTAGTTGATGGTACTAGCTCACTATTGTGTCGGAACGGAAGAGGGGGTGGAGGAGGGGGTGGCAGTGGGTCGGAAGAAGACGTATCCATTTCACTCTTTTGAGCACCGGTTAGCTGGTTCAGGAGAGAACTAGCAGCTGAACTCAGTAGCTTATTGATTTGTTTTATCGGTGAACTTTCAAACGCTGATTCTGGTTTCTCATTTGCTTTATTTTTGCTTAAATCGCTGAGCGTGTTACAAGGCAAACCAGCTCTACTCATCAATGTTTCCAGCAGATTGGAAGTTGGGGTCTGCATCTGCTGCGCAAATGTAGGCGGGGGTGGTGGTGGGGGAGGAGGAGGTGGTGGCGGAGCCGTTGTTTGATACGCAGAGCCTGGTATGACTATCGGCAAACTTGGCACTGACTGCAGACACTGGCCAGGGAACACAGTATTTGTCCCAGGAAGCATGGTTGGGTTTACCCTGGGAACAATCATAGGTGGTGGCTGCATGAAATTTGGAGGCATATGAGCACCGGCGTAGGGCATTAAACCTGACGGAAATGTTGAGTTAGGAATCCCCATTATTCCATAGTTAGCTTGAGGAAAACGCACGGGACTAAAATTAACCTGCGGAACTCTAGACAAGAATGTGGGATTGTTGCAAACAGTACTTTGCCACCTATTTATTGGTTGTACAGTTGTTTGGGACTGATTCGGGAGAAACAGGTTAGTACCAGCACTCGGTGTAACATTCAGCTGAGCTGCTTCGGGTGGAGAGCTGTTAATTTCACTCTCCGCGATCGCATCAGAGACAGGTGCTTCTTCTTTTGACTTTGGTGGGTCCCATGGGATAACGTCAGGTTCTTTGCATCGGTTATCTAAATGGGGAGCGTAACTGTCCTTAGTTTTGCGTATCGGTATCGGCTCATCGGAAAAGCGAGAAGGTCGCCTCTCATTACCGGATCTTCTCGACTTAGCTGGAGACCTAGAACGGGAACGTGGACCAGGTATGCGATCATTATTGCGGGAACGACGTGGTGGTGTTCTGGATCGGTTTCGTCTACGATCATTAGAACGTGATCTCGAACGGTGTTTGTGGACACGATGTCTGGAAGAGGACCGCGATCTTCTACTCTTTTTGTCATCAAGTCGACTTTCAACTCTTTTCCGGGAGCGTGATCTACTTCTGTGGCGATGCAGCTGAGAGGACCGTTTGTGAGTATCCGAAGACCTCACTTGCGGTCGAGAGTCATCTGGCTTTGGAACCTCGGGACTATTTTCCTTTACGGGCTCCACAGAATGGGCTGTTACACACTGCCTGTCCTCCGATCCTGACATCGCACGTAAATCATCCTCCGTTTGATCATACAACGTATCCATATCAGGGTTCGGTTGGATATTATTCACGTCGTGAGTACAAGCAAAAGCATCAGAATTAAAGAGTAACGGTACAACATCACTAAGTGATTGGTCAGCAGGTAGCTGATTTTGATTGGCATCCTGTTCTGGAGTAGCTGGAGAATTAGACTCTAAGTCCATATCTTGATCGGTGGGGTGTGATGGGCTGTAGGGGTCCATGATTGCTTGAGCAAAACAGATATATTGTATCAACTAAGATTTTAGATCCCAAACAAAAGTTAAATACACAATAGGAATAAAATCCAACGCCATTACAAACATTACCAAAAGGTCACAAGGCAAACATCTCCCCGGAACGTCAATTAAAACAAAGTACCTCTTAAAAGCCAATACACGGCAATATCGAAAAATGAGCTCCTATTTAATATGAAATTTCATCTAAACAAAAATATGACATCATCTTGAGGTCACAAATAGGCTCAAGTCGATACTGTTTAATAGTACTAGTTTCCAAAGTTCACTTTTGAAGAGATAAATGTTCATATAATCACATCTAACAAATTCCATCCTCTTTACAGACCTAAGGAAGTCATTACTCCCTGAATCCTGAATTCATGCCTCCCGACCATAAGTTAGGTTCATATTTGCAGTTTATGGATGAAAGGCTTTGCGTCTGTATTAACCCTTTGCAGTAAGTCTGTCTCTGTTCCATCTAGTCTTGAACAAGTTACTTGACAGTGCAGATGCCGCTCCCTCTGAAAATTTGTCACTCTGTATCTAAACCAGAAATGTGGGAAGGGGAAACGCTCATTCTTCGCTGCGCACTCTTGCTATCTTTACTGAGGTGCTCCAACCTGATAGCAAAGACGGAAAAGAGAACATAAGTCAAGTCCGAAGTGAATCCTCGAAACACTTTGTGGCACGGTCGTATATCACCCCTATCCATGATGGGAAGACGAATATCAGCCCCTGAAGTCGTTCCTCATAGGGCAGTCCAGCCATCACGATGATATAAAGTTCACTGAAGGTATGTGTCAGCTTTCAAGAGAGGACTACCCATCTGTGGACAGTTTTCCAGCCTTAATCTAACAGAGGATGTGTATTAGGTGGCGAACATCCTAACACCGTTCTTATCCAAACATCTATATAATGCACGGTGTCCTAAAATTCCTAGGTACGACCAGCAGGGTCCTATTACCAATTTCTCCTGGGTTTCTAGTGGAACACAGGGATTCACTAGCACGCCTTCACTGCACTGTCTTCTCTGCAGTCTTCCAAACCTGGCGCCACGACTGCCCACAAGCTTACATTCCCCCCTCACACCATCTCCTCCATGTCACCCTCGACTCGGACGTCCAACTCGTCGTCTCCCCTTGGGGTTCCGCTCGTGGGTCTCGCCTGACACTTGATGTCCCCAATAGGCCTTCTCAGTGTATGCCCAATCCAATCCATCTCCACTCTCTCCTGCATATTTGTTGGGCGATAGCTTCTTGCTTCGTTTGTTGCCAGCCAGAGTTCCTTCTTGCTTATTCTTTCTGGCTATCTGACCTTCAGCATCGAGCCAGCACAGGCAGCTGTTGATGAATGTCTGTAGTTTTTTGAAAGTGCTTTTCGTGGCGCGCCAAGCTTCTGAACCATATAGCAACACTGACTTGACACTGGTGTTGAAAATCTGGATCTTGTTCACGCTTTGTGCTGAGTGCAATAGATCTCCACACTGATTTCAGATTAATGAAAGCCTGTCCTGCTTCACAGATCCTGGCTGCTTTGACATCTTTGTCAGTGTCGCCTGTGGTTGAAACGGTGGTGCCTAGGTAATTGGTAGGTGAAAGAGACTACTTCCTTTATGTATCTCCCGTTAGTGGTGACTGGTGCCTGATGTTGTTGATGCTGTTGTTGATTGGGTATCTTCATCACCTCCATCTTCTCTGCACTCACTCGGAGTCCCGTTTTCTCTGCCTCTTCTGTCAACTTGTTAGTTTTTGTCTGTAGATCTTCGACTTTGTGCGACAAGACACTAGACATAAATCATCATCGGTGGCAAAATCCTAATCCCTTTCTGGCGTCTTTCATCGCATCGGTCAAACAGCGTATGCCCATCTCCTCGCTCCTCACGGTTTGCTGCATGATCCAGTCGACCACAATCAGAAAGATCATCCGTGATAGTAGGTGGCAGCCTCGTCTTACTCCTGTCTTCACTTCAAAGGTGTCACTGAGCTTTCCGTTGTGGATCACCTGGCGTGTGACGTCGTCATATAGCCGTTGAATGGGGTCGATACAGGTTTGTGGCACTAAAACCGTATTGTAGTGTTGAAGCAGCAGCCGCCAAATTACTTCTCGGTCGACACTGTTGGAGGCCTTTGCAAATTCGATGAAGTTGAGTTGAGGTAGAGAGTTGACTACCATTCTATACTCGTTCTACAATGACGCGTAGCGTAGCACTTCAATTTGATCGGCACATGATTTGTTCTTCCTGAGGACAGCCAGCCTGTTCCGGTTGTAATTTTGTATCCAGAACATCTTTTAGTCTCTCCAGGATGACGCGGCTTAATATTTTGCTTGGGGTGGATGGAAGCAAGATTCCGCATCAGTTCTTGCAAAGGCTTAGATCCCCCTCTTTGGAAGTTTGACAAGGTAGCCCTTCTTCCAATGAGTGGGCAGGCACCTTTCCTCCCTTCCAAACCTTCCACAGTAGAGGTGTGAGTATGCTTGCTGTTGTCTCTGCGTCCACTCTCATTACTTCTGGCGGAATTCCATTTGGTCCCACCACTTTCCCGCATTTCAGCAGTTCTATGGCATTCAGGACTTCTGCTTTTGTCTAGGGCCTGTGTTCACCTATGGTTCTGTCGTTGCTGGTGGTATTTCTGGATGAGTTGCAGGTGATAGTCGATTCAAGAATTTTTTCGAAGTGATCAGCCCCCTGTTTCTCCTCTTTGGTAGCTAGCTTCCCTTCACTATCTTTCATTGGTTTCGTCTGCGTTGATCTCTCACCTCCCAGATAGTGGTAATCTGGTTATTTGTTATGATGTTGTCAGGTCTCTCCTGCCAGCAGCCTGTTCTGCTTCGCTTACTAATGTGTCGTGAAAGTGTCTTTTGTCTTTGCGCGCATTCTTCTTCACTTCTCTGTCCAGCGTTTTGTAGATCGTGTTCCGTTCTTCTTTTCGTTGTTCTTCCTTGCCTGCACTAGTTCATCTTCTGCTTTACCATCTTCCCCTCCCTGCCCTATCAGATTCCATGTGTCCGTCAAGATCCATTCCTCATCCTGCCTCTTCCTCCTTCTTCCTTCCAAACACGGTTATGAGGGTTTCTTTCTACATGACTTTCAAAGAGTTCCAGTGTTTTTCCACACCCGACCCTTCAGGGATGTTGCTCAATATCTCACATTTTATTCTGATGGCTGACATGAAGATGTTCCTTGTGGTTTCCTTCTTCAGTTCCTGGGTGTTGAACTTGAATTGTGATGTATCACCGCCAACTTCTCTGGAGGCTTTCGACTTGATTTTGAAGGTTCCTTGCACGAGATAATGGTCTGAACCTGCGTCTGCTCCTCTTCTTTATCTTGTATCCAGTAGGCCGCGTCTCCACTTTCTTCACATTGAGATGAAGCCGGTCTGATTTTTAGTGTGTCCATCTGGTGATGTCCATGTCGCTTTGTGAATATCCTTTAGTTTGTACACACTGCCTAGAATCACCAAATCGTTGAATGCGCAGAAATCTGCAAACAGTTCTCCATTCTCACTCATCATTTCACCGAGTGCCTCTCAACCCATGACAAGTTCTCTTCCTGTGTTGTCTGCAACCAGTTTGGCATTCATGTCGCACACTAGAATTTCGGTGTCACCAACTTGGGCGGAATGTTGTCCATTACTGATTGTAGTTGTCTGTAGAATTCCTCCTTCTCCTCTTGATCTGCATTACTTGTAGGTGCGTAGCATTGTGTGCTTGTGACTTTCCTTCCTTTTGAGTTGAATCCATCTGGCTGTCATGATCCTGATCGTGGGGGAGATTGATTCCCACTTCCTGAGAGCCTTCGATGGTCTTGGAGACATCATGGTAGCCACTGGAGAACTCAGTGTCCTCGTATTTGTCGTCTGGGTGACATTATCGGAGTAGATTATTGAGTCTCCAGCTAACAGTTTGAAGAGTCCGCTTCCATTCCCTCCGCTTTCGCAGAATCCAGACACTTCCATGCCATATCTCCTCATCTCCTTAGCAATCTGGGTAGCCTTGGTAGGTCCACACATGGTGCGGACATTCCATCATGATAAGCCTCGACTTACAATCCTGGCGCAACTTCTCGTTTCCTTCGTGTTCAAGGGAATTTTGTTCGTTTCTTTTGCTTCTGGTTGTTATCTGCCTCCTGGAAAACGCTGAATCTCTTGAGGGTGTACATATCTGTCTCCAAGTTCTGCAAATCTCGGACCACAGGCAACATAAAAAGCCTTGAACCTGTCTTTCAAACGTTTGAGTTACCTAGATCTATCTAGACTTCAAGGTAGCAGACAGTTGGACAGTGTCACCCATTTGTTGAAAAATAGTTATGACCGAGCACGGAAAGTTATTGTCATTACCTAACTCACGACTCTGTTGAAGTTAAGTGATATGTAACATCTGTTTTTATTCAACTCGTTAGTTATTTGTCTGACATAATAGCATTACTTATATTTTTAACGCTTTTTGCTTGCTTTTCTGAGAATGAAAACAAGTGTCAGCAGCTTCCGTAGAAATAAGTGTTATCGCTAAAAGGCTACAATTATCTGATCTGTCGCCTAAAGTTAAAAGTTCCATTAGCGATTGCGGTTCGTCACTTAAGTCACATGATCTTATGATTGACGTCTGAAGCGATGTCAGTAACGTTAAGTCCTATATTCTAGAAATCTCGAAAGCAGTCGGGAATATGCAGTGCAAAATGGAATATCTCTCTGGTGGATTTGTTAGACCCCAAAAGCCGCTCTCCACTGGATACCCTAATAAAATGCGGGAGATTAGTTGACTTTCTAGCCAGTGAGGTAAGCAACCGAATGCCATCCTCCTACAATTCAGCAGCCTTCAACATCCCTGACAGTTCCCCACTAGAGCGAGTTATGACTGATTCTTTACATGCATGCGTCTCGGCTGGCTCAGATTGTAATGTTCGTCGCCTAAGAAAAAGAACAGCCGGGTCCCATGCCCTGTTCTATTTCAGTTTAACTCGCCGTGTAGTGAAAAACACTTCTCTGACTCTCAGAGAATTGTGGCATCCACGACACCATACAGCAAGGTTAGGATATCTCTTGACCTAACCTTCTTTCCAGCATCGCACACGGAAATTCCGTGGTGGACTGATTTCTCGAGTTTTGCTAAAACCACGAGATACCGAAAGTGGAAGGCAGTTAAC